ATTGGTCCCCGCATAATCATGAACCATACAAGGAGGATTTCTCGTATTATTCTGAACAATTAACAACAATAAACGTACGATTTCTGCGATCGTACAAAAAACCATGAACTTACAGTGTCATAAATCGTTTTGATTATTCCATATATGGTAATTGGTAAAACTACCATATGCTGAAAGGGCGGTTAAGTATAATTACTATACAAAAACGATGAATTACCCGAACAAATTTTCAGCGATATTACATCCCAGATGGTTTATCTGTAGTTCATATTTAGCTTGGAAAACGGTATGGTTTATCGTTTACTAATAATTGGACGTCCAAACGGAACAGGTCGCCATACTGTATTGCTTATCGTTATTGAATTTTAACATGACGACTGTGTTTTCAAATTTTTTCTTCGAAAATAAAGCACATGATATATAGTTTTAAACCGTTTTATTGATTAATATTGCATGCACTCTAGGGGCATCCCACTCTTAACTTTGTATTTCTATCGATATACCTATAGATACCTGGGGATATTTATAAATACTTAAGAAATATCTAGCGATGGTTTGTTTGCTCGGTTGCTATAGTCTATCTTTATCTGACGTTTTGATTCAAATCTTATCTGATTTTGTGAACATTTAACATTTATTATATTGTTACCGAACGGTAACAGTTTTTTGTTGCGTATAATTTTAAGACGATAGGAACAGCAAACAGTATTTAGTTTGCTCAGAAAGTCAACGGTCAATTTGTAGTCGATAGTTATCATAACCAGTCATCTATAAGTTTCGTGACGGATGGCGATTGGACCCCCATAATGAAGAGGGCCACGATGGAACAGCGGATAAAGCAAAACGCATAAAGAAAGGAAGTTGCTGGGTGGTGGATGAGCTACGATGAAGAGGCGCGAATGTCAGTGAGTCTGAAGCTTTGGAACAGAGTGGATCTGGTGAAATTTAGATAGGATTCAGAGACGTGAGGCACGTTGTTAGAGTGCACTTTTGCAAGGTAGTGTGTGAAGAGGTTTCAACCTCTGGGACAGCTAACGTCCGTGGTCTCCCAGGGTCTGGGATCAGTCCACACTACAGCCGCCGATAGCAACGAGGGTCGGTAGCTTGACGTAGACAGCGGCCCGCCATTGGATCAATAAAACCATTCAATTAAAGCCTAAATTAACCCTATTTGTCAAGCTTCTAATAATTCCGAAAACTCTCCCTACCTCGCCAACGCCCCGAGACTTGGGAGCAAAAGAGGCCTTTGATACCCATCCCAACAACTGCCGACTGACTTAGACCAGCAGTCAGGGATGTAGACACGTCCCCTTCATGGACGGCGCAGAAGCTCTCGGTGTCAAACAGTTGTGAGTTTCAATATTAATAGAATTAACTACACGCCACTGACCGTATCATACGTGACTCATTGATCCAGTCTCAAGAGGAAGCTATAATGATGGCCATTGGAACCATTCGACTATTGCTCGTTTAAATGTATCGTTCAAAATACAGATCTGGAAATGACTATCGTGTTATAAGTATAGTTTTCACGGAGGTTTTCACGGAGGTTTTCACCGAGGTTTCAATCCACTAGGATCTTGATCATGTGAAAATGACTACGGACATTTAAGCTGATCAGCTCCAATCGGAACTTGTGGCATCCGGAGAGCCAAGACTAAAATAATTATTATCGAACTGATGGAGCGAAAAACAACAAACACAGCCCTAGCAACCGGTCATAAAACAAATGTTACTACGATGGAAATTAAACCTAGAATTAAAATACTTAGCGATACTTACGAGATATTTAAAAATATTTAATAAATATTGGAACTAAAGTTTAGAGTGGGATGCCCCTAGCATGCACTCATCGGTAGCCGGATGAATTTAGTTACTTATTTACTTACAAAAGAATCCGGCAGGCTTGCCTATAGTTTACGGCTCCAAGAGGATATCGTTCAGTAAAAGCAGTAAATAAAAAAACAAGCTCCTCTTTGTGGCTGGCTTCAGCTCGGGCTTCAGGGCCACATAGTTCAAATCGATCTTCTTCACGTCTGACCACATTCTACCTGAATCTACCACTATTTTCAGCTGCAGCAACGGCCGTATGATCAGTGCAAGATCGTTCTGAACGACCCCCAACTGATCCAAATCCAACTAAGTGTGCCGAAAGCGTAGCCAGCGCTTGACTGGTCCAAACGATCTATTGCGCCAGAAGGAGGCAAGTTTTGGCAGTTTTTTGGTTCCCCATAAAGCAGTAAATTCCTGGGATGGAGTGAAGTAATTCGGACAAGGAGCCAAGACGGCGGTCGACCACCTTGCAGATGAGCTTCCGTGGATCATCGTTTCTGCAAAGACTGCAACAAATAAAAATAAATTAGATTATAGTGAAATGCATCCGAATAACACACTCAATAACATACCCGATAAGTACTTGCAAGTTAACATTATTCCTGCATCCTTTAAATGCTGTCCGGGAAGAAGTTCTGAAATCAAAAGAAAGACAATTAAATAGCTATTTAAATTTATTTTTCTACAGAACAGAATCCTCCTGCGCATATTTTTATTAACTCAATATGGCGGTGTTCAACGAAAAGCAAAAACGGATCAGGACATCAAGACACCAATACTGATACTCGCCGCTCAATAACATTTGATCGGATGATAACAGATAACATGCAAGTTAACAAATTGGCGGAGTATTTGTGTCATCTTGTTGTATGGAGACTAAATGCCTTTGCTTGGAATACACACCATATAATAGTTATTTTTTGCTGGATCATGCAGTTGGAGTTTTCCATCATTTATTGAGACAGAATTGTTGGATATTGATAATAGAGAACTATTCTGCAACGATTTTACGTACATTAATTGTATGTTATATCATAAATATATAATTGCTGATCGTACACTTAAAGCAACTTAAAGAGTGAGTCACAAATATTACTTTGATTGAAGGATGAGACAAATCATCACGATGCTGTATAAGGTGATCTTACAATAAGTAGGTTACTGCTAATAGTTTTTGATTATGCGGGTCTGCTTTAAAAGCTTTCATTTATTCTTGTAGGAAATTTTCCCAGCTACAACTTTGCTCAAGATCACTTTTTGATTAAATGCAAGGATCGAAAGTAATCAATGGTTCAATGCGCTGATGTCTTATGATCATGCTCAATCAACTGCTCAGCAGGCAACATTGGTGTTTCTGGGGCGTTGAATAGGACACCTCGTAGGACACAAAAATCATGGCTACTATGTCACACTGCAAAATACAGTGCTGCCTACAGAGCAGCTGCTTGATCATGTCATAAGTTTACCAATCCCTTAAATAATTAATAACTTTTTCCTGTCTCGTTTTACATAGAAACAATTTTCAGCAAAGTTGTAGCTGAGACAATTTTCTATAAGAATAACTATCGAACTGTTTCGCAGCTCAATATGGAAAAAGACTAGAAGGCACTGAACAAAAAGTTGAGATTTCCCATAGTAATTTACATGCAAACTTTAAATGGCTTGTGCGAAGTCTGTTTCTAACCAAATGAGTTGTAACTTTGGGAGGCTAATCAGGACCCAATTTGAAACCATTTAAGCACTGTGGAGCGAAAAAGTCAAATTTTGCATCAGTCTACTGGTCATCCTGCTCATCCCACACCTGCCCTATAATATTCTATCAACTCTCCAAAAATGAGAGAGCGATATATATCGTCGGATTCGTGCAATACTGGCACCACTCAAAATCTGTGAATGTTCACATTCAACGTTTGAAAATTTGGGGATCAGTATCAATTTTATGATTCTTTTCATTTACATTGGACTGAATCGAGTGTGTTTCATTAATTCTTTCAAATTCAGATTAAAAATAAACAGTTCAATGATTTTTACTGCTTCTTATTTCAGATGTTCTCATTTGTCATTTTTGTTTGTCTCCTCTATGACGCGCTTGATGTATTTGCGCCCGCGACTGATTATAGAAGAGTGGTCCGTCATTTATTTTAATTTAAGCTCCCCCGGGAATCCAATCGAGAAATCACTTCATCCTTGGCCTTCAGCATAGATGTACGTGGTTGTTACCTTCGTACTATTCATTCCTTTACGTTTCAACTTAGATCATTCCCACCAGCTTCGCCAGGACAATCACCACCTTGAACGACTCAAAGCATATCAAATTTTTTAACATCATGTTTATTATGGAGATCGTTGAAAACTGACAGTGCTTCGCGATCGACCTGAAAACTGCACGGCTTGCTTGATAATTTGTGTGCATGCAGAAGGGATAAGTTGGGAATAGAAAGAATAGATAGGATGGATTGAAATTTTGTGCACGTTGAAAATTTTAGGAGTGTCTTGGGTAAAAATAGGATAATCCTGAAGTGTCGTTCCCCCTGGTATAAGATTGATTTCTTTTACACGGCCAACTCAAATAACTCAGCGACTGAATTCAATTGACTCAGAGCATCTTCTTTCCATACGAAATTTACTCATATTTGAAATAATAAATTGCAGTTAAGGCCCACGCACATTAGATCCGAATCGGACGCGTTGCAGAAAAGTGACAGCTAAATCTATTGTCTAACTGTCAAATTTACGTCAACGCAACGCAAACGGATCTAATGTGGGTGGCCCTTTACTCATAGCTAATCAGTAACTGCAGTTTTTTTTTTCAAAATGTGAGTAAATTTCGTATGATCCAATTGAATTCAGTCGTTGAGTTATTGGAGGTTGGCAGTGCGTCCTTCGTTTGTTACAATGCCATAAGCGTGCACGGGATTTTGTTTCCGTGTAGGCGGGATATTTCCACGTTCAAATCTGCACAGCCCTATATTTTGGTTAGAAATTGATTCGAAGTTCGAAACATGTCATTTTTTCGGTTTTCTGAAAAAGCTCAAAAAGGTTTGTTTTCCCCGAGTTTTCCTTTCCCTCATTCCTTCTCCTTGATATAGCACCATACAAAAATTTGTGGATGTTTTTTTTTCGACCCCCAAACGCAGTGACGGACAGCCAGAGCACTAGAACAATCGTCGGGTAGTAGTTATCTTTCCGTAAACCATCTTGTTGTTGTGTCGCGGACGGCAGGTCCCAAGGAAGGATTCCATCTCCATTTACGGAAATAATATTTGCACCTGAACCGTCATTGTTGGCATTCGGTTTGTTAGGAGCCCGTGAGAACTAAACTACGAAAACATGTCGGCCGAACAAGTGATCGATTTGGTGGGTGACGAAAATGACGATGTGATTGTGATTGATGACAGTCCCAAGACCAGCATATCCGAGGATTGTCCAATGCAGGATGCCGATCGAGCCGACGAGCCGGAACAGAAGCCCTTCGAGTCTCAGGTACCCATCCCAGTGGATATGGACATGGAGGACGAAGTAATCCCAATCAACAACCAAACGTGAGTACTGCAGATATGGCTTTTTTTTTTCTTGAGAAAATTGTTATCACCCTGATATGACGCAATATTCGGTAAACAGACCTACGGAGAATTTTGCTAAAATCTAAAGCAACAGGGATTTCACAATCTAGTTGTCCCGATAAAGGTTTATGAAAAATGTGCAATTCTCACACCTACGCATTTACAGTTAACCTAGAAATATTGAACGATCAGCGTACTTCTCCATAGGGGGCTATAGTGTTTTATGCGTTTTATGTCTCTATAAGTACTTGTATGTACGTCATGATCAGCACATAGGTACTTATCTCCCACCGTTCGATACCTTTGCCCTCGAATGGTGTTTTTGCTCGATGATATTCTAATTCTTCTGCATAGCTAACTATATAAGTAGGCGAATAATTGAGTTTTTCCATGCTACAGATGATTTTGACACACCCATCTAGATCTTTTGTTATACCTACCAGTAAATAAGCATGATCTCGCATGTGCTGCCTTTGGAAAAAAATAGCGTGCTAGTAGGTAATGCATGACCAGATGTTTCAGATGGAAGCAGCTGATTGCTGGTTTTCCATTTTCGGAGTAGCATGTGTGTATTTTTTTTTTGTTTAACCATCCTAGTGCATTGAAGGGGTAATTTTTGGCCTGGAAATACTGTGTAAATTTTTCCTTATGCATTAGGAAGGGTAATCTATATTATCATTCAAGAAAATTACAGTCTAACAAGAATTGAAAAAAGAAGGGATTTATTTTTTAGTGGCATGCTTAAATTGTCCTTCAGCTCTCTATGATCTCCAATCTCCGAACAAGAAAGATGAATTTGCTTAATTTCTCTCAAATCTCTTTAAAATTCCATTTAAATGTCTCACGGAATTATCTTAGTATAGTCCTTAGAATTTAGAAACCTTGGAATTCTCTAAAATAAGGTTCCTGGGAAATTCATCTAAGAATGATCGTGGAGTTCTTATCAGAATGGTCTAGGAATTCAAGATATCCCTGAAAATTCCGTTGGAAAAATACCTCATATTTCCCAAAGTATTCTACCGAAATTTCATGAGAAGGACTGCTACTCAGAAGTTCCTTTGTATTCTCCTGAGAATTTCTTTGGAACCCTGAAATTCTCAACCATTCTCCTAGGATCTCTCTTGAAACTATCTTTAACATTAAAATTCGTTTCTCTTGGAATTATTATCGACATTCCCTTGAAAGTCAGTCCACATAGTTTGCGTTGATGGATTGATTGATTGATTAATTAACATTTGAGAGATTCTTCGTTTTTGCAAAAGAGTAAGAAGGTATCGAAAGAGGCCTCGTTGGCTGAATATTGCGTAGCTACAGTGTTATAGCGTTGTTTACTTAGAAAATCTATATATTTATTTAATTTGATCACTATGGGCAGTCTATGTTTTTTTTTGCCAATTAAGCTTGTGGTACGGTCAATTCCCTTTGAATTCTCACAATTCCCTTAGTATACTCGCTGCAATCTCTTAAACGTTGCCTTAGAATTCTCTATTTTAACTTGATTGATTGATTGATTGATTTATCTTTATTTAGGAGGCTTTCAGCCTAAGGCTGGTTCGCCTCCAAGTGTATTTTTTTAACTTTGCCAGCCCACGGCTGATAGTCTCGATAATAAAGAAAACTAAACAAACTCTATTTAAACTTTAACTTTCGACAAAGCGCATCACGGGTGAGATGAAAGTTGAAGACAGATGCAACTATGTTGAACACGCTCTGCAGCCCTCAAATCGCACCGTATACTCCATAATTTGTGCGACGTAGAGGCAGTCTTAGCATGAGGCTATTCCGAAGCGGTCGGGATTGAGCATTCAGGTCAATTTGTCTCAGGATAGGCTCGCAATCTTTCCTTCCCTGCAAGATATTTGAATTTTGGAATTCTGAAAGAGCTTCGTTTCGCATAGCGATGTTTTTCTCGAACCCATACACTTTTATATCGATTTTTAATGCTGATGAATGTGGGCGTCTCAGTGGAATACCTGTATTTAAAGGGAGAGGGAGAGAGAGAGAGAAGGATTAGTAATATCAATTTAATTTCACTACCTTATTTGATTATCCTTGACAGATACGCGTATTTCGTCTACAATGTGCAGACATCTTCAGTTTTCAAACACTTGAGTCATTTAGGCTCTGAACCATTTGGTGGATTATTTTAACTTTTGGTTAAAATTTGACAGATGGAAAGTTATCGATTAACCCTGCTATCCGAGCATGGTTATTTCTGACAGACAATAAATTAAATTTTGACGACCGTGGCTCGATTACCGGTCGAGCGACAGCACGGGGATTTTCGAACATAAGAAATAACTTTCGAAATGTCACTTTTAACCACGAGTTAAATTTAACTCGGCAAATGGTTCACAGTCTTAGGCTGTGAACCATTTGCCGAGTTAAATTTAACTCGTGGTTAAAAGTGACATTTCGAAAGTTATTTCTTATGTTCGAAAATCTCCGTGCTGTCGATCGACCGGTTTTCGAGCCACGGTCGTCAAAATTTAACTTCTTTTATGTCAGAAGTAACCACGCTCGGATAGCAGGGTTAATCGATAACTTTTCATCTGTCAAATTTTAACCAAAAGTTAAAATAATCCACCAAATGGTTCAGAGCCTTAATATCTGGACGCACTGTTTATTATACTGCAGTGCTCCTAGCGGTCGGATCTGACATGTTGTGAACAGCATTTTGTTTCGAAATGTTTCCTCTTTCAGGGCTGAAATGTTCGTCACGATTCATTTTGTTTAAAAGAAGTTATACTTGATGGAAACCAAGAAACCGGAAATTAGTTTTAGACACCCACTTGGAAAATTTGACGCGGATTATGGTAACGCCAAGAAATTGAATGCCAACCAAAGCACCGTCAGAAGGATTTCGATCTTTTCGGGCCAGTAAGCAACCAAACAGGACACTGAAACAGCATCTAGTGGGCAAAAGACGTGCCTGAAAGTTGTACAATGAAGTTCTTACAAAGTACGAAGGATGCATCCTCATGGACGACGAAACGTACGTGAAGACTAGCGTGAAGATGAATTTTGTGTAGCCTCCCGGACAAAAGTTCTATAAAGCCACTGGTCGAGGTTAGAGGTGGGCAAAACAGCTCATCTAGCTGAGTGGATCAAACCCATCCAGCTCACTAAAGGGATTCGATTCTTTTGAACCACCCTTATTCTGTTTTTCGTTTCGAACGAAATTCTCATACAAAAAAATATTGTTTTGTATGAGAATTTCGTTTGAAACGAAATACAGAATAGGGGTGAACAGCTCTTCAGCTCACATTGAAATTATAGAAATTATGACACAAATTCAAAATCGGAAAATTAATTTGTGGTTTTAGTGCATTAAAACCGTAAAAGTAGTCCCTCCCCTTGGCTAGTTTTTAACCTGGACGTTGGTGGGCGGGCCTAATCTTATGCTTCATAGTGGAGCGTTGGAGACGGTTGGTTTAGGTCCGGCATCGTTGGCTCATGCCGTGACAGAATAGCGTTATGAGCATGCGATGAGGATTACTGAGCTTCCCTTCTCTGATGAACCATTGCACAAGAGAACCAAAGTTCTAGCCTGAAGTGATAGTATCACACTTGTTACTCCTTTATTTGAAAGCCGCGTTGTAGTATGCTTACGTATAGGCACTGACGTTGGGTGCGATACTGGCGGGTTTTGCCGCAAATCACTCTTATTTTATTTATTTTTACGCAGATAGATTTATTTGGCTTTGCAAGGGAATTATATTATTGAAATATTTCAGAAAGTGCCCAACGGTGCTCCTTCCATTTGCGTGACAAGCTTTCATTGTTGTGTTCATTGAAGCATTACTCAGGGAACAATATTAAACACCACCATGGTATTGTAACTAATCTTATATATGCTTCATTTTGGTTTGGGATAAATGTTTGAACTATGGCTCGGGATTTCCACTGTGGCGTGCTTCTATTGTGACATATCCATACGTAATTTTGTGGGACGACATAGTGGAAACGTGTGAGTGTAGTTGGAGCATATATCTTATATAAATTAAAAATCAGCTAGGAAACTAATTTCAGAGTGAAGCATTTTAGTCACTTTGAGGTGTCACCTGGGTCGATCTAAGATATAATAAATATAGATCAAAGTCAAAGTCAAAATTACTTGAAACACGTTAAATTTTAGATTACATAGCAGTTTAGGTACTTGTTAAGCATGAGTTATGATTGATTAGGTAGATTAGTGATTTCAATTATTTATTAAATTAGACTAATGCGATATCATAATCATCAAACGAACTTAAATAAGAAAATTTAGACAGCCTAATAACATTAAGTAGATTAACAAAAGAGTTAGGATCAGCGAATCCAAACACATAAAGCAACCAACGATACAGACAAAACGGTTGCTACGACTACCATGACAAACTCGCTCTGTAACAAAGCTCGATCCGAGTGGTAAAAGGATAATGATATATTGCTTGCCTGCTTTGTTGCAATATACACGGATGAGGACATAGCTTGATATGAATCGGGAAAAGACATAACAAAAAAAATCCCATTAACACACGTGTATCATCTTCGGCTTTACTTCGTGAAGCAGCTTGCCAACAATTTGCTCGTTTCCTTCTACCGCCTCGAATGAGTTGGGTCGCACGAGCTGCTTGTCATGAAAAAGAACGGTGATGATTATATCATTATTGTTTTCCACTTCTGACATAGCGTTATTATTCGGTTCGTTGATCGCTTGTTATTTTGTCATTTGGAGAGATTTTTGATTCCTTGGTTAGGATGCGAAGGGTCCGCTTAGGGAGGCAACTAGCCTTTTCATATATTGTCTGTTTATTTTGATGGTTGCTTTAAAATATCAATTTGGTATATTTGTGAAAGGATAAATCAGTGGGAGATGGATTTTCGGTTTCTTTACATTTTGCAACACAAATCTAGTACTATGTGTCATTTCCTCAAAAACCCCCAATAACCGACCTCTTGAATCCCTTCCTTTTCCCATGGCGTTCAAGTGGTCC